ACTTATATTTGAGCTAATATTTTATTGTAAGGGATTAGTGTGATAAACATTCAGTTCATCCTCAAGGTCTAAAAACAGAATGTCACGTGAGAAATAAACGTTACTTTCCTGTTGACTTATGTCATGACCATCCAATGTTAAATGCTCAAACTATTTTGTAGAAGGGAAGCAAAGACTTATACAGTGGTGCCTGGGCCAGGGTTATAGCTCAGTGGTACAGCACCTGTCTGGCAAGCGCAAGGTCCTGAGTTCGAGTCCCGGTATCAAAAACAAAAAACAGTATTATACAGTGGTGCCCAAATATACAGAGATGCATGATTTTAATTTCCTGGGATTACAAGGAAAAAACCTTCACCTGATCCCTGTGATTGCCTCTTAATATACAGCAAGTCTTCCTTTTAAGTTTATCAGTTTAACAAATGTTTTGCTAATTAATTTTTTTTTACGAGTATCTGAACTATTTCTGCTTGCAAGTTCAAAGTGTATAACATTAACGTGGCGAGAGGGAGTAGGTCAGACACCAGGAATCTGTGGTCTATCTGGCAGAGGGACGTCAGCTGAGGGAGCCAGGAGCCCAGCCACTGCGCCCATCAGTGACAAAGGGAAGCCGGCGCTGGCCCCAATGCCACACAGGTACTCAGTCTGGGAAGTCCCCATGCGCCCAACCCTTCAGAAATAAATACTCGCCGGGCGTGGTGGCGCACGCCTGTAATCCCAGCACTCGGGAGGCTGAGGCAGGAGGATTGCTGCGAGTTTGAGGCCAATCTGGGCTACAAAGTACGCTCAAGGCCAGCCTGAACTGCATAGCAAGACCCTGTCTCAAAAAGACCAAAATAAATAAATACATACCCAAGGTGTTATAAAGATGAAATAGTGTTAGGGAGTACCAGAGAACCACTCAGGTAACCCCACCACGTCCCCTTTTACTTTGTGGAGAAATACAACTTGGTGACTGACAGCAGGAAGGCAGTGGGTATCCGTGGAGATGGGAAGTAAAGACAGCCCGTGTGTTTAAGAGCGCAGAGCAATCAAGGCCTTTGCCCACTTGACGTTGTTAGACAATGCCTACTTCTGAAGTCCCTTTGTGAATCTGGACTCATCCTGCTTCTCATCTCGAAGTGTCCCTTGACCCCAAAGAACTGCTCCACCTGAAACGGACAGCAGAAGAGGAGGGGGTGCGGACTCGCACACTTACTTATTTGTGCTTCCAGAGAAGCTGCCCATTCTCGCAGAGAAGACTTTGCTGATCATCAGCTGCGGAGGGGAGCTGCAAGACGGGCGCAAGCGGTTTCATTAAGGAGCGTGTACGGCCAGTGCCGCGTCTCCAAGCAGCAGGAGAAGGGCCTGCACTCACCGTATGTAGTGGATCTTCAGGGTGGAGCCTTTGTAACTCATGGCAACCGAGCCAAACATCATCTCCCCGAGCATATTGACATCGGACGCCGGCCTCGTGTACTACTTGCAAGAAACCAAAGTCAGGTTAGTGCATGAAACCGCACCAATGACAGTGCGATAAAAAACAATGTTTATTACTCTCTGGGTCCTTTCTTAGTTTAGTAGGCAACAACAATTATTATTATCTTCTTTGAGACAGAGTCTCCCTGTGTAATTGAGGTTGGACTTGAACTCACTTTATAGCCCACACTGGCCTCAAACTCATGGAGATCCTCCTGCCTCAGCCTCACGAGTGCTGGGATTACAGATGTGTTCCATCACACCTGGCTACAATTATTCTTAAAGCATGATCTATGATGGTGACGGCCAGAGTTTTTCCTCCAAAGTAACACTAATGTTCTTGATTTCTTTATACACGTTACGGTCACATAGGATCCAAGTGTTTTATCAGAGTTCATTTTTAATATTATTATGGAAAACAAAGATTACCATTATCTCTATTTAAAAACTTTTAAAAGATTAAATTATGAAAGAAAAAGGGTAACTCTTCTTAGTACTAAGAACACAACCTGAAAAGAAACACGGCTGGCTCAGTGTTCCTTTCAGCTAAATCATTAACAGTGTTGCTAAAAAACAAATGCCAACTGATGCAGTCAGGGCTTTGTGTGGGTCCCAAAGACAACAGCAGGTCTAACTGCGCTAACATTTTGCAAACATATTTGACTCTTCCAACTTCTGACCGGCCTGTCTCGTAACCCTGGTCATCTGTCTTGTCCGTCTGTCTACCGTGGGGCAACCACAAGCTGCACGCCAGCCCCGAGGCCGAGCACTGACGAGTGCGGCCTGACCCTGACCACCACTCCCGTCCAGTCTGCGTTCTAAGGACCTCCTCCGTCTTCCCGGAAAGCCAACAGGCGTCTCCAGCCGGCTGTGCCAGGCCCCGCACTGTGTCTGACACTGCTCATCGCTCTCCTGGGTTTGCTCTTCCGGCAGCACAGCAAACAAGACTGTACGTGTGTAAAGAATGTTGATAATGCAGTTCCCATCAATTAATACCTTTTGCCATTCATTATTTATAAATCATTTCTCCCTGTATCTGGTCAATGTTTCTGAACAATCCTAATTTCTACCTTTTACTGCCTCAAACACACATATACCCCAAGTATAAAAACACCCCCTTTCTTCTGATTTCTGGTTTCTCAGATGTCCACACACATTTGCAGAATCCTGAGAATTCTTGTAATGAAACTGGAAGATGTGTGTTTACTGTGCTGGGTGTGACAACGGAGCACACACTGAGACGACTTACTTCATCTGCCGTATTTCCTCCTCACTCAGTGTGCTGTGCTGTATCACCCCGCCTCACGACAGTGTTTATGGAGACACGAGAGCCTCAAGCCGAGCGGAGCCAGCCTGCCCGTCGGGCCCACTCTCCCGAGGGGTCCTCAAGCCTGGGGCGGGCAGCACCCCGGCACCTCACCTCCGCCCTGGGGACTTTGCGGCCAGGGCGCCTCACCTGGTACTCTGGAAACTGCTCCCTGGCGTGGTGTGACGACGCCCCAGAACTGCTGGAGGGGACGCTGGCGCCCCTGCTGCCGCTCCCTTGCCAGCTGCTGGCCGGCGCCCTGCCGGGCACGCCCTCTGCCTTCTGGGTGAGGAGAGGCAGGGGGAAAAGGGCCACGGAGTGCGCAGCCTGCGCCAGCACTCTGCACCGCACGCCTTCGCCAGGCCGCCCTGGTGCGCGCCCCGTGTGAAAACCCAAAAGCCTTTCACATTCCCTGTGAAGATGGTTCCTGAGTGCCTATAATATCCGGAAAGGGGGAAGGCTGCAGAGCGGTATAACACAAAAAATGGTGGGCTACATACGCCATTCGCCTCAAATAACTTATTCGTACTTATACCGAAATTCATACAGAAAACGTATCAATGACAATTGATCTCTGGTTCTTAGAAGATGTTTCCGTGCCATGTGCAGTCACAGTTTATGAAACTGAAAAGGAGAAAGATGACACTCAAATCTGAAGGTTTACCAAGCAAATGGAAGTCAGAAAACAGAGCTGCTGACATGGACGGACGGAGTTTGTGTTCTTCACGACACAGCTCCTCCAGTCCTGCAGCTGCAACGGGGGAAAGCCACGAGGCTGGCATCGGGAAGGGCGAAGCCCAGACCCCGGGGCAGGAGCTGCTGCGAGGTACCAAGCAGGTGACGCACCTGGGTCTCTAGTAAAGGGCTGCGGTACGGAGGGCATGTGCTTGCGGATGAGGGAGAAAACACAAGCTCTTTATTTCTGCCCAAAGCCACGCAGACCCTGCCGGAGGCCACTGCTAACCGGTAGCACAGTAGGACACAAGGATAAAGACGCGGCCTTGCTGACCTTCGCCCTGCGCCCTCACCAGAGCCAGCCCGCCTGCGCCGCGCCCTGCGGCGTCTGTGGACGCGCTTTCCCTTCCGCTCTCCCGGCCTGCCTCCTTTCCTCCTCCTGCAGCTTTTGCCTGGAAACCCGTGAACCGACGGCAGCTCACCCGCCCCTCAGCGTGACAGTCACACTGCGGGTCTGAGCAGGTGCCTGCAGCCGTGAGTGCTGCGGGCGGGCCCGCAGAGGAGGAGGAGGGTAGGGCATACACCACGTGTGCCTGCCCACATCAGTCACTCCGGCGCTGGCGGCACTCAGCTCAAAGCCGCAGCCGGTTCACCCTGAGCACAGAGCAGGCCCTCGGCGCCCTCTCCAGACCTAGCTGACACTTAACTCCACCTAAGCGGAAGCACTGCCCCCCAGAGCCTGAGAGGACAGGAAGTCCCGCCTACCTCACCCAGCACCCCTCGGCCGCAGGGCAACACACCCACACACCCAGCAGACTCCCTGCAGCTGGCGCCGGTCCGCACAGTGAGGAAAGCACCCACTGCACTCCTCTATAGGCTCGGGCAAGCCTAAGCTTTTTGATTAAATGAGTGCGTCTAGGATAGTCCATGTTCCAGATTCCAGGGTTACCACTGTTCTGGTACACGAACTATTCCAGTTCCTTTCGAAAACCCTGGAGGGGCCAGGCACAGTGGCTCATGACTAACTCCAGCCATGGAAGCTGAGGCAGGAAGACTACTGTAAATTCAAGGCCAGCCTGGGCCACACAGTGAGTTCAAGTTCAGCCTGAACTACCCAGTGAAACCCTGCCTCGAACCACCAAAAGAAAAACCAACAAAAACCTGTGAGGGTATCTTGCCCACCACAAGCAGCCCCGAGGATGCAATGTGGTGTGCTCAGCTAAGCCACGCGTGAGGCACTCGGGGACTAAGGGGACGCCACGTCCTGTCCACGCAAAGCATTACGTGCTGGCTCACATACACTTCTGATCCCAATCTCCCATCAAAGCCTGCGGTGAATCACGAGAGACTTCTCAGCCTGTCCACCTACCCAACAGGCCAAACAACCGCGGTAATGATTAGCTACCTGGCAGAGGCCACCCTCCAGCACTGGCAGGCACCCAGCTCCACTGCCTCCAGCACACGCCTCCTTCCTGCAGAAATGATCCCCATCAGAAGCCTCTTGGCCCTGTGGGTAACGAGCTACTGAACGTGAGAGCATGGGGACAGATGGGTATATTTAACTAACGAGCACCTGAACAAACACTGCGAAGAGTGAAGTCTAACCCTGACGATTCGGGAGCAATGAACCGACATCCAAGAAGACTCGTCTCCTCGCAGACACGTTATTTTGCCTTTCCTGTTCGTCCCCACTCTACACATTCCTGGTCCCTCCCCCGGAGGACGAGAATAAACGCCTCAGCGGTCGGTGCTGAGAAGACAGCCCTTCCAAATGACAAATTTGGTCAGCACAGCCAAGCTCCTGGCAAGGAATGCTGGTTTTCTTTAACGTGATGCTATATGATGCCTTTGAATATCTATGAGAACACGGGACAAAATGATACATGAACTTCCCTTCAGGTGAACTCTGTAGTTGCTTTATGGATTTTAGAGCTGTCTTCTTAACACACTGCATACACACATTTGGCCTCAAAATCCTACTAGATCCCAACTCAGCGGCAAACTCCCCTCCAGTGGTATTTATAGCCCCCCGCCTCACTAACGGACACACATGTGCCTGCTGGGGCGAGGGGCTGGCTTATTTTGTTCTGAGCCATTAACGGCACTCTACCATCCCTCAAGGAGAGACTGCAGATCAGTAAGCCACTGATCCCAGAGGTGGTAAAAGGTCCAATGGAAAAAGGGACAGCAGGTTAGCATGTCATACCTGAGCAGCCGCCTCTTCGATCCTCTGAACAGCTTTAGAGTCAAACAAGACTTGTCTGCCCCTCCTCTCGCAGTCCTGGTACACCAGCAGGCGAATCTCCCCCAGGTCAAGCTCTGAACACGACCAACTGCAGGTTTTAAAGAGGGAGAGACAAGCTCGGTTACCCGCGGTGCCCGGTGTGCTCGTGTGTTCTCGGTGCTCCGGACAGGCACCAGCGTGCACAGGCAGCGACGCCCTCAGACCCGAGGCGGCAGTCAGCCTGCTGCAGAAGGCCTCGCGTGTGGACGCCAAGGGGTCGCCCCTGTGCCCAGTTCTCGTGGCCGAGGCTGGGAGGCTGCTTCCGGTAATAAACTGCCAGAGGAAAAGCTTCTCCTTCCAAAGCCACTTTGGGCACCAATGACAGCCAGAAATCGTACGGACGCAGAGAGGGTGAGGGGTGTCTGGGCTCTGGGAACGGCCCCTCAGAGTTGGGGGAAGCTTGAGCCTTGGTGTCACTGAGCAGGGCCACCTAGAGCAAGTCAGCGGGGCCTACGGCTGTAGCCACCACCCACACCACCTCAGGGGCTGATACCCCAAACGTATTATCTTCTTCAGGAATGTCTGCTCTGATGCAAAAACCCAGGGGCATCACCATGCAGCAACTGAGCTGCTGCTGACACCTGACAATAAGCGAAGCATAGCTTATTCTTATTTTTTTTCCCCAAGGCAGGCTCTCACTATGGAGTTCAGGCTGGCCTTGAACTCACTTTGTAGTCCAGGCCATCCTTGAACTCACAGCGATCCTCCTGCCTCAGCCTCCTGAGCGCTGGGATGACAGGCATGCGCCACCAAGCCCAGCACATAGCTTATTCTTAAGCAAACCACAAGCTACAGGGATAGAGCTGCTCTGAAGAAAACACGAGCTCATTCTTAAGTAATGAAGGACATCCAAGAGAGAGAACTACAGGAAAAGTGAGCACTGAGTTAGAGAGCACACAGTGCTCTCGGCCGCCCAGCCCTTGTGGGGGCGGGTGGAGACCCAGTAATTAACCAGACACACTGGGCCTGGCCTCCCCAGGTCACGGTTTATCAGCGAACAATCACATGTCAATGAGTAACTACAAACCGTGGGAGTGTGAAAAGGAAAAGTAAAGGCTGTGGAAGAATCTGCGATTTCCGTACTTAAGGACGGGGAAGCGAGGCCGGACAGGCCCTGAGGACGGAAAGTAACACGTGAACACAGACCTGAGGAAGTAAGAGGGGAGAGCGCACAGAGCGCATAGTGGGAGACAAGGGAGGAAGGTGTACGGCTGCCGCAGCAGGGAGAGAGAACACAACCCAGCGAAAGGCAGAGAGTGCTGGGCGGGCTGGAGGGCGGGCAGGGCAGGAGGCAGGGCAGGGGCAGCTCCCAGCCACAAACAGGTGGCTGACAAGATCAGATCCCTACCGCTTGAAAGTTCAGCTGACTGCCTAAGGAAAACGGGTGGGACTAACTCGGGAAGCAAGAAAGCCGAAGAGAATGGGTAATGAAGGTCCAGGCCCTTCCTCCGAAGGCCAGGGAGCGAGCAGGGGGCGAGCACAGAGGTGCACTCCGGAGGCAGAACCGAGGGGGCAAGCACCGAGACAGCCTCGGGAAAGGGCACAGAAGATTCCGAAGGGACAGACGCGGAGGCGATGGACGAGACTCAGGAAGCAAACTGGAAGCGGGAGACGCGTAACCAGAGGCAGACACGCCGGCCCAGCCCACAGCTCCCTTCGGTCCCGGCATCGGCACGGCGCTGCCGACCCCGGCGCTGCTGCGCGGACTGAGTACAACGCGCAAGCGCCTAGCGCTCCCAGACGCAAATCAGCACCGCAGAGGACTGTGAAGCCACGGTGTTTAAAAAAAAGCGGTGCAGCACCCGGAACCCAATCGTGAATTGTGTACTTCTGATCCTTCCCTTTTTCAGACAATGCCAGTTAATACTGAACATTGTTTAAAGTAGATTCATTTTCTTAAAGCCCAGCAGCAAAAAATATAAAGTTCTGGTTGCACCTTCAACCACCTGTGTTGGAAGCTGCACCCTGTCGTCCGCATTCTAACAACAGCAAGGCAAGCTCACGTCAGGCACCGTCTTTCCTCCACTTTCAGGCCAGCCGTGGCCGTGTTCTAGGTGTGGCCGGAGAGACACGGCCTCATGACCCCGCTGAGCTGTGCGGCAGCCCCGGAGTGCACGGGCTCGGCTAGGAAACGGCAGCCCTGGCGCTGCTGGAGCTTATCTCTGCCCTCCCAAGGTGAGCAGCTGCCTGGAGTGGAGTCAACACTGGGGCAAGCAGAGGTGAGCAATGGAATGGGCCAGATTCCGGCTGGCACACAAAACCAGCTGCTCCTGAGTAAGCACTGTGCCCGGACAAAAATGTCTGATGACGGTGACCAATACTACTGAATTTAAAAGTTTCATGAGACCATTAAAACACTCTCTGAAAATATTCATTAAAACACGTATGAATCAGGCGTGGTGGCGCGTGCCTGTAATCCTGGAACTTTGGGAGGCTGAGGCATGAAGATTACAAGTTGGAACTCAACCTGAGCAACTCAGCAAAATCCTGTCTCACATGAAAAATTTCTAAAAGGCTGCAAATATATATAGCTCAGTGTGAAGGTCTTGGGTTCAACCCCCAATTCCCAGTACCATTCACTCCCTCCAAAAAAAAAAGAAAAGAAAAGAAAAAAGAGAAAAGAGGTCATCTAGACAGTCCCGGCACACGGTAAGTTAGCAGGGCTGAGGCAGAAGCCCTGCTGGAGCGCTTGTCAGCAGGCGTCAGGTCCTCGGTTCAGTCCCCAGCACCCAAACAGAACAGCACAGGCTGACGCTGCTGCAAGGGAAACACAACGAGCACTTACAGGGAGCTGCTTTGTATTTTCTTGTTCGATCTACTGTGCCCCAGTAATTACATTTTGCCAACAGCGCTATAATTTACAAATCAAGTTATTCAATCCTTGTAAGAAACAGCACTCACTCAAATATAAAACTCAAAACAGCCTGTCTATAGGAGTTCAAACTTAACAATGCTCATAACACTTTATTAAATGTTCCATTTTTTTCCAAATAAAAAAAGATGTAAGTAAAAGATACACGAAAAGTATGTATGTCAGATCGTTCCACTGTTTTTAGCCAAAATATCTAAGAGGCATTTTATAAAACGTGAAGAAAACTCTTTTCTCCCATGTGAGCATTACCTGATGTCTGAAGCCTGCTGGTCCTTTTCACATCCACCATCTCTGACACTGGTGGAGGAAAGCGCAGTGGCCGGCTGGGAAGGGAGAGGCCGGCTAAGGCCATCCAGTGACACTGGGAAGGAGACAGCCTCAGACCGCATCTCAGCTCACACCTCCGCACCCCTTCCCCTGCTTTGCAGCCTCAGGAAAGTCTCCCCAGCAGCCCCTGTGAGGCCTGCCGTGAAGACGAGAGGAGACCTCTAGACAGTCCCGGCGCACGGGAAGTTCCTCTCTACACCACGCTTGCAGCACGCGGCCTGGGCTGCGACACGAGTCTGCTCTCGCTCGCGGTCTCCACCTGACCAACCCTCACCACAGTGCCCCTGTGTGCAGAGACCGCGCTCACAGGGCTTTCCTGAGGGCCACACTGTGGGACTCGGGGTGGGAAAAGTAAGCCATGGCTTTGCCTTAACACCGCGGCATTTCAGGCACGTGTATTTTACAGAGAACTTCATTTCTCCGCTTTTGCTGAGAGCGAAAAGAGAACACCACACCTGACATCAGGACTGAAAGCACGGCCTGCCTACCATCCGACTCCAGACACAAGCGGACAGCATGGACTGCCTCTCCTTATTCTAGGATTGTAAACAAAATATATGGACCCTCTGGGGTTTAACATTGTGATGCTAAAATACGCCTGGTAAGAATTGAAACTAGTCTTATTTCTGGAACTACGCAGCAAGAGCAGGAAGCAAGTAGCCACAGTCTGAATCACCCCCTTGAAAAGTGGCAAACAACAGCTCAAATATCTGAACTATAGAGAATAGAATTTTCTTTAAAATACACATAACTACGGCCAGGGATATAGCTCAGCGGCATAAGCACCTGCCTGGCAAGCACAAGGTCCTGAGTTCAATTCCTGGTAACCCCCTCAAAAAATAAAAGAAAAGAAAATACATATAACTATGTGTTATGGTTGAAACGGTATCAACCTAAAAGGTCTGACCACATTTTAACTCTTTTCCAGGGTGTTTTTCACTAGTGTATGTCTGCAGTATGCAATGACCACATTCACTGGGGGACTGGTATGATCAAGGCTGAGTTCCTGCACCCATGAGTCTGAGCTGTCTGGTAATAAGGTCTTCCTGAGGTCACCAGGGGCAGATGAGGTCGCACTGACTCAGGGTGGTGCTAAGCTAATGAACGCCGTCCTCGGAAAAATGCAGTCTGGACAGTGACACTGACGGAATAATGAAAGGAAGTCACTGCAGCACAAAAGGCAAATAAATGACAAGCTGTCGACATCTCGGGCGCAAAGAATCACGTGGCAAACGCTGGAGAGAGAGCTCGGGTCTACTTGTGGGGGGCTTCCAGTGCCACGCCAAGGAGCGTACGCTCTGCTTTAGAAGCAGCAGCGTGCCAGCTCCAAGTTTCCAAGAGAGGGAATGACACGACCCGAGTCCGGTCTTAGGAAGAGTTTGAGGAGACCACTTCTGGGCGAATGCCGAGGCAGCCCCGTCTTGGAGTCCAGGGTCTCAAGGAGGAACAGCGAGCGTGGGAGAGCCAGGAGCCGAACGATGTGCTGCGTGACAGTCCTCCAGGACTGGTTCTACTGTTCGCGCTCACTCTCTCCTCAGACTTTGACAAGAATCAGGCAAGTGGGCATGAGCTTGCCCCTGCTGAAAAACACGATGTCTCCCCGTCTCACTCTCCAAGCAATCCTACACCCAAAAGTACGTGCGTGTGACTCATCTCCAAAGCAGTCTTATGACCCAAGAATGTAAATGTTTGAAGAGTCAGATATGACAGGGAACTTTAAATGGCCCAAGAAAAGCTCAGATAAAATAAGACAAAAGCAAACGACAGTGATGATAAAAGCTGGAAAGTACCAGCCACTTCAGACAGCTCCTGGCTGCCCCTGGAGCCGGGACGGCGCAGCGAGCAGGTCA